TATATATATATATATATATATATATATATATATATATATATATATATATATATATATATATATATATATATATATATTAATTCATCTGCAGGCATTTTAAACTTCATTCAATGTTCCCATACTACAGCTGGAAAAAGGTCATAACCATTCACCCTGGACTGGGTTCTATGCTATATCAAATATCGACAGTTCTTCAGAAAATTACATCTTATTCTTAGAGAAGAGAATGGGTATGTTCCCAAATGTGTACTCAAGTTATAAAGCAATTTGTTTCACTTATTATGAGGCAGCCATAAATTAATCTGAAATCGAAAAAATGCTAATAAATTGAAGAGCTATTGGAAGATGGCCCAAACCTGTAAACAACCTGTGAACGACTCAGGAACGCAACATCTATATTTCATTTCTGATTAGATTCCCACACTCTGTATCAAGATTGCTCTCCACTCTTTCCCCTTTTCAGGATATTTATAATTGATTTCAATCTGACGCACACAATATTTCTATTTTGAGATCATTTTGGAAACATGATTTTGGATCACTAGCCACTCAGCATTTTTTTTTTCTGTAAGCCGGGTGATATATTCAATCATAAATATTAATGGTCAGTATGAATTTTGTGCTACAGGTTCCACATACATGCAGTTAGTGTATGCGTGATATAGAGATAAAACAGTGATATCACAAGTATCAGGATGAAACATATGCATGCACATACACTTGGGGTCAAACATTTCCAAGTGTATTTCCAAGCACACTTAAAGGCATCTTCGTCATGAAAAACAGTAATAAGGCACACGACGCAGTTTATCATAGTGTCTGTAACTCAGTGATTATGGTGAATACATACCTTTCTCTTGAAGTGGCCTCTTCAAATAAATTACTACCTTTTCTTTTATCTGGAAAAGGGATCGAGTGTGAGTGGAGCATACAGTGAAAGTGTCATATTGGCTTAGATAAAATTGAGAGATTGGAATTGCTGACCTGCTCCAATGCTTCAAGATAGCAACTTACCCTAAGACTGAAGAGAAGAGAGTTGTTCATGCACAAGGGTGGCTTTAACATAGTATTCTTACTGATGTATTGTTAATCCCCAATAGTTTTCTATATGCGTTTTCCATCTCCAGGTTTTTTTTTTTTTCTGTTGGTGTTGTTTGGCTGCAATATTTGGGAAATGTTTGGTCTCATTATTTTGTCTGTAGGTATTGTTTGGCCTTATTATTTTCTCATCATTTTGTCTGTAGGATATGTTGTGCATCATTTTCTTGTCTGTGTTTACAGTTGTATGCAAACATTAGGGCACCCCTGGGTAAATTACATATTTTATTGATTTTTGTGGATTTTTGCATAAGGTAATGCACACACTGACAAGCGTAAAAATAGAAAAACATGATCAGTAATTTTGGCATGTGCAAAAGTTTGTACAGTTTAGTGGTAAAGTCTAAGAATTTAATTAACTCGTTAGGCCTTAATTGGTTTGTTAAGATGATAAAAATCAAAGTATAAATATGAAATAAAATATACACCGATCAGCCATAACATTAAAACCACTGACATGTGAAATGAATAACAATGGCACCAATCAAGGGGTGGGATATATTGGGCAGCAAGTGAACAGTCAGTTCTCGAAGTTGATGTGTTGGAAGCAGGACTAATGGATAGAGAGTCGGACTTGCAACCCGAAGGTGAACCTGAAGGTCGTGGGTTCGAGTCTCGGGTCCGGCAGGGATTGTAGGTGGGGGGAGTGAATGACCAGCGCTCTCTTCCACCCTCAATACCACGACTGAGGTGAGACCCTTGAGCAAGGCACCAAACCCCCAGCTGCTCCCCGGGCGCTGCAGTGCTGTGTGTGTGTGTGTGTGTGTGTGTGTGTACGTGTATGTACTTGGATGGGTTAAATGCAGAGCACAAATTCTGAGTATGGGCCACCATACTTGGCCACAAGTCACTTCACTTCATCTTGGTGCCATATACCATAGCACACAATCAGAGGTCTTGTGAAGTCTATGTTGTGCCAACATCAGAGCTGTTTTGTTGGCACAAGGGGGACCTACACAATATTAGGCAAGTGGTTTAAAGTTATGGCTGATTGGTGTAACTATCGGTGCTCCCAGCTTACAAGTTCCACTGTCCGAAATGTCATTAAGAAATTGCAGTTAAGGGGACCTGTGGAAGTCAAGAAACAACATACAAATTCTGGAAGCAAATGTGGCATAGTCAGTCAGGAAACGGAAGCTGAAAGAGATTCGCTTCTACAACAACACAAAGATCCAAAACATACCTGAAAATCCACCATGAACTACTTCATGAAATGCAAGCTGAAGCTTTTGTAATTGCCCTCACAGTTTCCTGACTTCAAGATCATTGAAAATCTGTCGGTAGACAATAAACATGCATACATGCAAAATAGCACAATAATATCTCAGAACTAGAAGCATTCTGCAAGGAAACATGAAAGTGTTTGCAAGCTGTGATATCTGCCAGAGGGGGTGTTACTGGGTACTTACTTCGTAGGGTGTTGAAACTTTTGCATTTGCCCCAATTACTTTTTTTTCTATTTTTAAGTCCACCCAATGTAAAGCAACTGTACATTAATATAAAATCAATACTGTTATAGTTTGCCTTCAGTTTTTGTCTGTAGGTATTGTTTGGCCTGATATTTTTTGTTGTGTGTGTGTTGTTTGGCCTCAGTATTTTGTCTGCAGACATTGTTTGGCCTCATAATTTTGTCTGTGTTTTTTGGCCTTTTTTTTTACCTGTAGGCAATGCTACCTCATTATTTTGTTTGTAGGTGTTGGCTGGCCTAAGTATTTTTGTCTGTATATATTTTTGGCATCATTATTTGTCTCTCCTTATTATTTGCCTCATTATTTTGACATTAGGTATTGTTTGGCTTCTTGATTTTGTCTTTTGTTATTGTTTGGCCTCATAATTTTTTTTCTGTAGGTATTGTCCTGCCTTATTATTTTGTCTGTAGATATTGCTTGGTCTTATTATTTTGTCTATAGGTATCGTTTGAGCACATTATTCTGTCCTTGGTAAAATGGGTTTGGCCTCATAATTTTGTCTGTAAATATTTTGGCCTTATCTTTTCTGTGAGTCTTATTTAACTTCATTATTTCATCTATAGGTATTGTTCAGCCTCGTTATTTTGATTGTGGGTATTTTTGGTCTCATTACTTTGCTGTAGGAATTGTTTGGTTGTATTATTTTGTCTATAGGTACTGGCCTCATTATATCGTCAGCCTGTCATGTTGGGCCTTATTCATTTGTCTGTAGGTATTGTTTGGCCTGATTATTTTGTCTGTCTATCTTTTTTCCGTAAGTATTTTTATAAGTATTATATAAGCATTATATATAGTTTTATATAAGTATATTCTTTTAATATCTGCCTTTAAGGTGTCCTTGGGTGTGCAAAATGTTTTGATCAAAGAAAACATTTATTAACATATATTATTATTATTATTATTATTATTATTATTATTATTATTATTATTATTATTGAGAATATTATCGTTAATGCTGAGAAGTGATTGAAAACAAGAAGTTGCATTTTTACAAATAGGCCTTTATGACATTCATTTAGTGAATTCAAACCCCGACATGGCTTGCTTTTTTCCCCACCCCATTTTCCTTGTCCTCATCATTTCCTGAAAGCATCTCTTGTCCTGTCAAGCCTCCGTAATACAGTATGAGTGATTTGAGACAAATACCTGGGTGACAAATAAATGTGCTGAAAAATACAAAAAAAGGCATTAATTCAACGTGGGTAAGACACATGTCCTTATGACAAAAGAGGGGGACATTTGTCAGTGTGTACCACAGATGGCCCTGCTGGAGTATTTGACAAATTAGCCTCAGCTTGCCTGTAGTGTGTGGCATTGTTAATCTGCAAGCGTTTGGCATGCGATACACACAGCGTTTCCCCCTGCTTTCCTTTTAATGACCTTCAAAACGTCGTCTATTATTCATTACAAACATCCTGGCAAGTGTTCTGGTGCTAATAACTAATTAAGCTGTA